TGTAATATACGTTTTCCTTTATTTTTGAGTTTTGTTTGAAATAGAAATTGATTTTTGCTCCAAAAATCTTCTTCAAGTTTTCACTGAGGGCAGTGCAAAAATTTAATGCCTGACACAGAAGGTGGCCCATTTTTATCTTTTGGCCAATATTCTATCTGTCGCCACTGAATTGACAAGTTTGGGAGTCAAAAAGGGAGTGTAAGGTGTACCTACCTCTTGAAAAACACAGTGTTGTTCTTGATCACGAAAATGGCTAAGAGATCATGGAGGGACAAGTGCTTGCCATCGCCGGCATAAAAAATAATAGTAACTCCATAGCAGCCTCTCCAGTTTAGTGCAGTCCCCATTCTTGGTAAGAATGCCATTCTATTTAGCTTGCGTGGCCACACACGTCCTTGAATTTTCTCTTAATGACCTAAAAAAATACCGGCTGCTCGTAGTTTACTGCACAGGCTACATTCTAGTTTATACAATGCATTCACTCATTGAATCAAGCAATCAATCATTAGGCATAACTGTCTCCCGGAATGAGGTATATGATAAATGCTAACTTTAATTTTTAATTTGTATTACTTGAAAAGGAGAATGAAACAGAGGAAACTGTGGAAGCCTCCATTCTTGCTAAGAATGCCATTCTCATGTTTTATGTATCCACATGCACCAAAAGTATCTCAGATGGTTTTCTTTAAGCTTTTGAAGCCTTTTGTTAAGCGAACGAGGACAGGCAGCTATGCTAGAAATGCAAAAGTCCATTGGTCTTTTCTTTCATTTCGAAAGATGTTGCCTTGATTGTTATTTTTTGGGGGGAGTGGCTTGTACACTCTAAATCACTAAACAAAAGATTGCCGAGAAAAAAATTAAGAGAGTCCAGGTCAAAGCGCGACGCAAGCGAGGAGGCTGACAAGCAAAAGTTGGTTGTTCAATACCCCGAAGAGCCACAATATGGCTTGTGATAGTGCTGATAGCACTTTAACAGCATAAAATAAATGCAATTCTGACAGACAAATTAGTGCAATGACCTTTTGACCACTTTGAAATCAAATTTGTTAAAAAAACAGCAACCTGAAAATGAATAGTCCAAGAGTTATCTCTGGGATCTCGGATGTCACACCTAAGGTGTGATTTCCGATTTATAATGCTGGCTCAAAAAATCAAGAATTGCATAATTCTCGCTCTCCCTCCATAACAAAGAATAACAGTAAAATTGGACCTGACTTCAACTTAGATTGTTTATTTACCTGTAAATAGATACAGAGGTGAAAGTTTTTGTAACGCCTCATAACTTCAGGCTGCAGCTAAAAATTCCAAAATGTTCCCCCACTGCCAGAAATTTAAGACGTTTTTCTTTACATGATGTGAATAAACCTGACAAGTTTTAACGTGGTAAATCTTCATCTTTACACATCAGTTTGTTTTTAGTGCAGTCCAATGTAGCCACAAAATCACCCTCAATTTGCCCATAATTTTTGTCTTGCTGCACTACTTTCTTCTTTGCCATGTTGAATTCTTAGGAGTGAACTGCTGTTGCTAATGTTTGCTGTGCCACCGACCAGATTGCAGCACTGAACGTGGCCAGAAAATGCGAAGATCTTAGCTGAACTTGTTTCGTAACATGCTCTCCATATGGCGTTGTAAACTATGATTTAGCTTTAGCAATGCACTAATTTGCATAATAGGTGACTTAACTGTAGCCTTACCTGTTATCAACCTTGAACATATCATATCTAATTTGTCTCTAGAAGGCTTTTAAAAGCCATCGAAATGATTTAGAAATATCAATACAATCATACTTTTTGGGAGGAACAGAACATAGACGAATTTTGTCATAGTTTGTCCAAGCTTAGTTATACCTCATAACATGTTAATAAGTGTTAGGTTGTGAAAATTGAAACATTTCTGTCAACAGCAGAAAGTATTGTGTCAGATTTCAGCACCATGATTATTAATCTTAGAGCTCTTAGACACCAACTTTGGCCCTCGCTTTCTCAACTTTTGTTTAGCAAAGACTGCTTTATTTCTGGAATTTAAGTTCAGCTTAAGGTGCATTTCAAACAAGGGATTTTAAGAGAATGACTATTTTTTGACTTTGTAGCAGTTCTAATAACTTAAAGTCGAAGTTTTTAAAAGATTGTTGACAGCAAGGCTAGCTTATTACTCACATGAGCAGGCAGGATACTAAGCTGTTGCATCAAACAAAGATCAATCTTAACTAAAAATTCTTTTTTAATGGTTGCTCATGATTAAATGTAATTTTCTACATTTACATTAGGTGTGTTTGAGCCACAAGATTTGCTCATTATAAAGACAGTTTGTCCTCGCCACGGGGAACTGTTCTGGTACCTTGTGGCAGGCAAACAGATCACATTGTACTGTCCCTGATTCAGCGGCTGCACACAAAGGTAGCCCAAACACTCAGCTTGAAGATGATATGATGAGATGAAGATGATATGATGAGATATGATGATATGATGAGCAACAAAGGTGCTTGTTCCTTTGGGCTCACATAAGTATTATTATTTTAGTCAACGTCAAAGCCCCACTCAGTTGACCATTACGTCACCGAAGGGCTACTATTTTTTAGCTTTAGGCAAGAGGGGAGGGGTGGGTAGGGTAGTATTGGGCATCTCTTACCATGAGGATCAATCCAACACCTAATTTAATTACCAATCACCTAATGTATGTTAAGATAAGTTATGTTTACAGAACTGTACACTGTTTACTCTGAACTTTCCTTTTAAAAATATTTTGTAAGAAATTGCTTAATTTTTTAACTTCAGCAATCTGCAAACAATGCTGAGAGCATTTAGCAGCCTTGTTGCCAGTCAAGAGGTGACCCTTGAACCTGTCAACTCTGCACCAAAAGCTACTGGTAGCCAGGAGCCCCTGATGGGCTTCTGCAATACCCAAGCCTAAAACCTAGAAAGACTTGAAGCCAGTCTTCAGGTTTTACAGGAAGAGGTTAGGTATATTTTAATTTGAGTGGTCATTATTTGCTGTGTGTTGCACAAATGGGATGCACGAAGAAGAACAAAGCCTGTTTTAGGCGATCAAATAGTTGGGGAAGCGCATTAGCGAGTGATTTTATACCACTGTCCACCATCTGAACATCTGGAGGAGAGCATTAAAGGGAGGTAAAAAGCTAACATCACTTGTTAGGTAAAATTATTGAAGAGGCTAGTAACCATACTTGACAGTGGTTCAACAAGTGCTGTTAACGGAAGTTGGGAGGAAGTTACTTAACATGTGATTCAAATGCAATATAGCTAGGCTGTCAACTGAGCTGATAAGTTTTATCAGCCGTGCATTTTTCTTTTATCACTACAAGCTCTGGGTGAGGCATAAAGCAATGCAACCTTCTGGGATACTTGTCGCAAGGTACTTTTTGTGATGACAGAAGTAGCTTCCTTTAAAGTCATTTCTACATAGAACTAGCCCTCATTTAATTAAAGAAAAACACCTTTCGGTCTCTTCCAGGAAGGTTATCACTGTACCAAACATCGTGCGCACAATGATATCTGAAAGGATTATGATGCAATACAGTCAATATTGGGATGAAACTAATTTAAAGCCTTTAAGTTGCAGTACTCTGATGCAAAGTCTGTCAGTGTAGTACACTTGTCCACACATGACATCCCTACAGGGGCTGGATTATTTTGCAGAAGAAGGGGGAAGAGCATGTGATAACCTTGCTTCCACTTTGCCTTAAACAAGGACCCTGCCTATAAGAGGGATAGCTCCCCCCCCTTCATGTCATGCAATTAGTGCTTTCCACCCCATGCAAGATGGCGGACGCATATATGGGAAGAGAGGAATAATCCATCTTTTAAGAAAGACACATATTCTTTAACTTTTCTAGTCTATTTCTACTTAGAGTAGTTGGCCTATGCAAATAAAAATGAAGAAAGGACTAAATGCTGGTAATTTTTATCGAGAATGTGAAATGTTGTTTGCAAGAAATTTGAATTTGGCACTCGCAACAGTTCCACCAATGGCGCGGTGGAAGGTCCATACACTCTTCTCTGTTTCCTCTCTGTTTTCTGTAAGTTCTTGACCTCTCAGTATGTTTGATTTGAGGTCTAAAATATTGGGGTATGCTCAAACTGTGGTCTGCTTGATACAATCTCATTGATTTGGAGTTTGTTTCATGGCGGAAGACAAGTAATGTCAAGCGTTTCTGTTGCGAAATCACTTGTCTTTCTCCTTGAGTCAAATTGATCTCGTAGCATTGCTTGTCCTTCTTTTTATCTTTTCTGGTACTCGCTATGGATAATTTGCCCTCGAAGAAGGCTTAATTGACAACGCTGCGCGCTTCCCGAATAAGGTACACCTTGGAGCTTGCTTTTGCACCCAGAATGGAAGAGCGACTCGAGGTCGACGTCGAGATTGCAGCGAGCGAAGAGCAGTCTATTTATTACTTCTCGGACGTCAATGGGAAATGTCTCGCTTGTGGAAGGACTTCTGGATTCATTCGAGCAGTCTGAACTGAGGGGAATGGTGAGTGAAGGTCATAATTCCTCTTTGTTCACATTCGGGTCGTGGTTGTCTTGCCATGATTGTCCTCCCACTTACAACGTAACCACGCAAACAGATTTCTGTGGGCAAGACGATTTGCCATGTGTTGTCATCTGGTGAAAATACAACAGGCTGTTTCGATGTGCATACCGCCAGTAAACCCGATGAAGCCTATTTTATTGCATCAACAGACGCCACGAAACAAATTTTGCACACCAAGGCAAGATATAATGGAAAGTGCCCTTTGTGTTGATTTTCCTTGGACACAGAATCCTTGGGATTTCCGAGGCATGATCATGCGGCTCTAATAAGCTTGAGCTGTGCTGCCGCTCACTCTCTACGCTGGTTTTCTAGTAGTGTAATCTCGGGGAAGTTTACGGTCAATCTTAGGTATGTAACTTATCTATAAATTTTGATGAAGTTGATACGAATTTTATCAACCAAGTCCTGGTAGAGCAGAAAATACAGTGTGTTTTGGGTTTGTTAGGATGATACATGGCTTCACATGTACCGGGCTTACACAGACCCAGTACGTCAATCACAGCAAGGTCACGAATATTGGTTATGTTGAGGATAAGTACATTTCCACTGGTAAGTGCACAATGTGCAGAATGTGTTCTCCTACATTGTTCATGCAACCCTTCAATCTTGATTTCCTAGTGCAATTTGTATGTAATGGTTTTGAACCTTGGAACTATGAAACTACCTAATAGACAATCAGGAACCCCTATGACAAGAACTGAAGATAAATAGAAGTAAAAAAATAAAAGGACAAGTGTACACTATTAATAAGTTATAAATAAAAGGGACTGTTCTTCTTGTACTACTCCTATAAATGCTTTGAAAAATTTTCATTTTACATTTATTTTACATAAAGAATTTCATTTCTTTACTGGCAGTCTACTCCTCTCTTGGATATAAAAATGCAGTTGGGGCCTGTTATGAAGAAAAGTTGAGTGAAGAACGGCGGGAAGCTCAACAAGATTGTAACTATGCCACTGACAGGGACGTTAGTACTGTATTTGTCTCTTGGTGAAAATTGTCTTTGATTCTAAGTATCTAGGCTCTGGTGGTTAAAAATGTTGTGACTATGCAGGTCTATTTTTATGACTATTTCTCTCAATGATTATGTTTGATCCAAATTCAGGTCATTATAACAGATGCAAGGCATGACTCCAGTAGAGCAGCTTAACACACCACTGTGTCAGCTCTATCTCAAAGGTCAGAATTGGAGGAGATAGGTTTTGAACATGCTTTAACTGGTTAGAAACAATTTTAATTGTACCTTTGAAGAAATAAAATTGAAAGGTTTTGAAGTGCAAAAATGTACTTGTTACAATACAACTGTAATAATATTGTGACATTGTATCGTCTTACGTAGAGTTTCCAACCATTCAACAGGTTCAGGAGACTTTTATTCTTTACTCCAAGGACAAAGAAAGTAATTTACAGTCTTAGCTGGTCAAAGGAAGACCTATCATCTGCTGCAACACGTGAGGTCCCCATGACCAAGGAAGTGGTGGAATATCTAACTGCTCTTGGTAAGCTGCACATCGCAATAACCCCCTCCCCTCTTGATCCCTACCTACTAAAAAGTATGTGAAGTGACAATTGCTCAACTTGCTCTATGCTAAAGCCCTTCGCATATTCCAAACCTGAAGTTGGGGTTATCTTGAGGTAAAATTTTAGTCTGAGAACTCTTTTGACCGATAACCAGGATCAATGGATAATTCAGCTTTAGAGGAGGTGCTCTTCATTGACTGTTGCCTTTCTTCCTGCTTTCCTCTTACAATTTAATAATTATTAAAGTATGTTCTGCCTTGTAACTTTCACTTGTCATATCATCATTGGGGCATCGAGTTGGTGAAGTGGCACACGACTATGTCCCAGCACTAAAGAACTGGTTGCATGATAAGGGGATCAAAAATCCCCATGATAGTTGGCATGGTATGTATTGAACGCATAATTCCTAAATGAAATAATGGCTCATGTTAGCTCTTTTGTATGATGACTCAGTTGATACAAGTTACTTTGACGTTCTCAGGTTGTCCCTTAATCTTTCATTATTTTGCAGGTGGAAAAGGTGTTAAAAAGGCCATTACCAAAGTAGCTAGTGGCCTAGTCAGGGATGAACAGAAAATTTGGTTCTCTGAATTATCTGATAAAGGTGAAGTAGTGATTATAATCAACATCAAAGTCGGCATTGATAGGAAATTATAGAACCAACTACCAAAATTCAATTTTTTTTCTTTCGTTTGTACAGTGAAGTGCACCAGAACACATATTTATTATGCAATGAAGAACTGCAATGGGGATGCAAATCAACTGAAACGTTATATGCTTAACATCATCAACCATTACAAGGTAATCTTCATTGAAGCCAAGAGCCTTGGTTTGTTGTAAAAAAATGTGTGCTTGAAGAATTTCGCATAGTCATAGAAGAAAAAAGCAAGTAAACTGTTTGCGATATTTTTTTTGTATTCAAATAGGGTGATCACTCTAATTGTTATAAAGATTCAGGAAGAAGGTTATGAATGCAGCAAGAAGCCACTAACAAACGAAACGGCAATTACTGCATACAGGAAAGCAGTGGAGGGGACCACGGTCTACAAAAATGCTGAAGATTATGCTCTCGTATTATCACAATATTGGTATTTATGTCCATGGTAATTAGAAATAATAGATTCGAACTTTTTTAAGGAGTCTTATATGTTACTTCTACCTATCCTTCCAGTGTCGTGATACATTTTGGATTGAGACATTGCACTTGGTGATGCTCATTTATGCACAAAAGAGAATCCACTTTAGCCGAGCAGACTCATATAAAATGAGAATTCAGCTGGCTATTCTTGACTGGGTAAAGTTTAAAAATACAATATTTATATTAAATAATTTTACTGTTTTTTATTACTACGTGTGTATGCTTCTGTGTGCCCCAGAAGTTATTGCAGAGAATGAAATGCAATAATATGTAGTAGTTCTTGTTTATTCATATAGAATGAGAATGTGCTGAGAGAAACATCTCCTCTTCAATATTACCAAACAAGTCGCTAACCAGACCGAATTGCACCACACAGGGTGCTGGTGGAAAAGACCTTCCGCTTCAAAGATGAGATCTGGACATACTTTTATAAGAATTTGTAATAATAAGCCCTACCATGGTTCTTGTTGGCCAGGCTCTAATTGCAATTTCTTCCTATTGTTAACTAGAAATACGTGGCAGATGTAACATATTGCAGTTGAATTAGATAGTAGGTTAATTTTTATCATCTGTTGTTTGGGAGACTTGGACGAGAATCGAGTTTTGGCCTCATGTTTTTTTGTTCTTCCAAGATCACAGCTCGTGAAAGTAAAACTGGCCCATTGACCCTTTCAGTCCTAACATTTACTAACATGCCCTTTGTCCTTACCCTGTGTGAGATGGAAAAGATCACGTGATGGAATAACTCATGTGAGTATGAGTTTTTCTGTGTGTAAGTCATTCGAGCCATTGCAATCGATCAATCCATGATCGTGCAAGATAGAATAAGACTTTGTTTGATTTTGTGTGCTTATTTTGAGCCTGGCAACATTTTGGCGACCCTGCCAGGATGGCTTGTTGGTGTAGAAGCTCGCAGAGGAAAACAGATGTCATTGAAGCATCAAGACATTGCTATAGTCTCATGAAATATGGTGTCAACTGAAGCATTTTGTTCTGTGTTTCTGTGCAAAGCAAATTTTCAAGGAACATGACAAAATCAGAGGTTGACGAACGCTTCAAAGAGTTGAGAGAGGAATTTGTAAGCTCCCATTCACAAAAATGGAGCAGTTAGCGGAACATGTGGGATTGGAATCCAAGGAGTTTAAAGGAAAAACGAAGCTTGCCATGTCAGGGACTATTCACGCCATGTCAGGGACTATTCTCAGCGGTCCTACCTCGCGCGTATAAAAGGCAGAGTAGACAAAGGAGTTATGCCATTCTCTCGAAGCTGCTGAGCTGTTCAGATTACCATGGCTGACCCGCAGGTCCCTGCAGATGCAGTCCAACAAGCTCAAGTTGTCTTACAAAACCAAGCACAAGAAGGTCAAGCACCGGCGGCGTTAGCAGAACAAGCTCAAGCACCAGTAGCCCCAGAGGAACAAGCTCAACCGCCTGCACAAGCGCCAGTGCAAGCAAAGGAAGTTTCTTTGGAGGTTTGTAAAACTTTATTTTATCCGTTCGTTGCCACGTGTTTCGTTCCGGTTCTCTAGTATTTCACTTCCAAACCTTGTAGGTTGTTTACCCTACGCGAGCTGTTTTTCATTTCCACTTAGTATATTATTTGCCCTGCTTCTTAACATTTGCCCGCTTTCTACGGGCTGTGCGGGCTAAATTTTGTTGGATATATTATTCGCCCTGCTTCTTAACGTTTGCCCTCGTTTCGTATGGGCTGTGCGGGCTAAATTTTGTCTGATATATTATATGCCCGGCTTTTAACGTTTGCCCTCGTTTCGTGTGGGCTGTGCGGGCTAAATTTTGTCTGATATATTATTTGCCCTGCTCTTAACTTTTGCCCTCGTTTCGTGTGGGCTGTGCGGGCTACATTTTGTTTGATAAATTATTCGCCCTGCTTTTAACGTTTGCCCTCGTTTTATGTGGGCTGTGCGGGCTAAATTTTTATTTGTATATTCGTTCTGCTTCTAAAGTTTACCTTCGTTTCGTGTGGGCTAGTGCGGCATATAATTTTGTTTTGTTTACCGTATTACACTGTATTTAAATTGCTTTTAAAGTTTACCCTCGTTTTGTGTGAGCTCAGCGGGCTAAATCTTGTTTTGCATATTATTTGCCCTGCTTTTAACGTTTGCCCTCTTTACGAGTGGGCTGTGCGGGCTAAAACTTTGTTTTGTAAAATATTCGCCCTGCTTTTAACGTTTGCCCTCGTTTCGTGTGAGCTGTGCGAGCCGTATTTTGTTTTGTATATTATTCGCCGTTCTAAACTATTTGCCCCTTTATGTGGGCCTCGCGGGCTATAATTTTGTTTGGTTTGTTTTTCGCCCTGATTCTCAACCTTTGCCCTCTTTTCACGTGGGCTTCGCGGGCAATTCTGAATTCGTATGCTTGTTTATTTTCATCTTTAAAACCCCCTTTTACTTTTACTCCGCCTACAGTTCGTTTAGTTGTTGCGCCTCCTTGTTTGCCCTTTTGTTTTATTCATTTGCGTATTTACCGCTCGATTACACCGGCAGTCCCGCTGGGGCTAGTTTATTTTGCCTGTTGTATTTAATTTTGTTTGCTTTTCCTCTCCCGATCTTTTATTATAAAAGCTGTTTATTTATTATTGCCTTGAATTTATTCTTGGATTTTATTATCGATGTTTTGTCGCTTTTAGGGCTTAGTTTTGACTGCCCATTTTTCTTTTTTTTTAGGCCTTGCAACAGCGTATTAAAGCTCTCGAAAGTGCCCAAGGCACCTCAGTCGAGTCATTGGTACAGAGAATTTCATATTATGGTGGCAGAAGAGTTGAGGACTTCGACAAGTACGAAGCGCTTCGTTACGCCGAGGAATTAGCTTCTGTTGCAAAGTCCTCCAGTCACCCCAAGGCCGCCAGCTATGATGTTATCGCTTCGACTTTGAGAGAGAAGCTCCACGTCCCAGCTGAGCAGTTCAAGGCGTATTTCCTTGCTTTGTTAGCTGACAAGGATTTTTCCCGTGTTATCGAAACGATCTCGAAGGTTGACAAGTCTTTCCAGCGGTCCACGCCATTTCGCACACAGACGCGTAGAGGAAGTTTGCCATATCGGCAACCGTATTTTCAAGCCTATCAGCGGCCACCCTCTCGCGTTATTTGTTACAAATGTGGTGAACCAGGGCATAAGTCACCCCAGTGTTGGAAGCGCGCTCCTTCTCGTCAGCCTTCTTCTGCTGCTCAGCCTCGATTTAACCATCCTTCAACATAATTTTGTTGTATCATCTTATGCAATAAAGATTTTCCTTTAGGCGAATAGTGCATTGTTTTTACTTGCCTTTTGTTTCCTTTATTTTTTGTTATTTCGGGGTTACCGTCTTTAATCCTTCACCCTTTTATCCCCTAATACCGACTTATATTTTTATATACTTTATTTTGCCCACTCGCTATGGTGTTCTCCACTCGCTGTATTGTTGTCCACTCGCTATATTGTTCTCGCTCCTCTTTCTTCTTCCCTCGGGTGGCATTCTCAAGGGGAACGAATGTTCCCTCTCGGATTACCGGGGCTGAGTTTGCCATTCCCTGGGCCTTACCTATTCTTTCTTCTGTTCTAGTTTTTCAAGATGCCTTTTCATGACTGGGAAAAGACTCCCAACTTTGATCCTGCCAAGATTTCTGTTAACTCGCCACGTTGGGTCAATTATAAGGGATCTCTTCTTACTGAGGCCCAGGAAATGGCAGACAACGCCCATATTAGTCAAGATTTCATCTCCTCAGTTATCGCGGGAGAAGCGTTTGCCGACGCCTCCCTTTTGGCCTTCCGTGACTCAAGTTCCTTTAGAGCGGGTGAACTCCATCGCCATATAGATCAATGGGACAAGTTATTTCAATCGTCTGATAACAATTTCTCTGAAGTACTGGACTGGATTCATAACTTTATCCACGTTGACAAGTTTTTTACCCATTATAAAGGAAGCTATAAGGGAGTCAATTATAACTGCGAAAGACCGCCTGCTCGCATTTTTGCTAATCATCCTTCTTGTAAGGCGTTTGCCCAGTTTATTTCTGATACTCTTATCGAGAGATTAGCTTCAGGCGCCATCTCCCTCTGGGGCAAGGTAGGGGAATGTCCACCTCCACACCTGGTCATGCCGCTTACAGTAGAACCTACCAAACCACGCCTTTGTAATGACGACAGATTTCTCAACCTTTGGACTCAAGACCGCCCTTTTAAATTGGACAGTGTTCAGCACTTACCCAAGTATGTTCTCCCTGGCTTCTTTCAAACTGTCTGCGATGACAAATCCGGTTACGACCATATCCAACTCTCAGTGGACAGCCGGACATTTTTTGGATTCGAGTGGGGCGGATGGTTTTTTGTCAGTTGTTGTATTCCATTTGGTTGGAAATCGTCCGCCTACATTTATCACTCCACTGGCCTCCTTGCCTCTCATTATCTACGGTCGCTTGGCATTCCATCTTCGCTGTACATCGACGACCGTCACAGTAGTCAGCTTTCTTTCCCTAATGGTTGTCTTCCGGTTGCTTATCAAAATTTGCCCTCCCAGGATAGCATTAATTTGGCTTTAGCCAACGCTGCTATTTTTCTTACGTGTTTTATCCTTTCCTCCCTCGGTTATTTTATTGGTTTGGATAAATCGACTTTGGTACCTTGCAAGCAAGTCCCTTACTTGGGTTTTATTTCCGATTCCGAGAAACAGGCCTTCATTTTATTGCCTCACAAGAAACAAAAGTTTCTTACTCTTCTCAAGCAGGCTCTTAGTTCAGAATCCATCGACCTGGTTACTCTCCAAAGGTTAGGAGGGAAGTGCATTTCAATGGTTCTGGCCGTGCCAGGTGCAAGGCTTTATACAAACGAAATTAACTTGGCCCTTTCTCGTGCTGTGCGCTCATCTCGACCGGTCAAACTATCCGGGCCCTTGAGACAGGAGTTGGAGCATTGGCTCTTTTTGGAAACCTGGAACGGCTTCCTTCCTTGGCGTTCCGAGAAACACTGCCATTTTCGTTTGTTCTCGGATTCTTCCTCTTTTGCTTGGGGAGGTGTATTGAGTCCGGGTGCCGTTACTGTTAGCACTTCCGACTACTGGGATTCTTCTGTTATTGGGGCCGACATTGCTACCAAGGAAACTCTTGCCCTCAACAATGCCTTACAATCCTTTGGGAGTACGGTAAGAAACTCATGGGTGGATGCATTTGTTGACAGTCAGGTTTTGCTTCACTCTTGGAACAGGCGTGGTTCCCGTTCCCACTCTTTGGTGACCGCTCTTAAGTGCTTGTTTCAAACTACCATGCATCTTAACGTTGATCTGCATGTCTACTATGTTCCTGGCCCTGAGAACCCTGCGGATTCTCCCTCCCGTCGGCTAAGCTTTCAGGACTCTAGACTTA